AAAAAGAAAACTGAGGGTGGTGAGATCAGGCCCTGGGGTGGCAGCATGACTGACCTGTTCAAGGAACCCGAAGGACGCCAGTGTGGCTGGAACACAGGGAGCAACAGGGAGAGTGTGGGGAGCCAGAACAGAGGGAGGACAAATGCAGATGGCGCAGGGCCTCGTGGGCTGCAAGGAAGCACTTCACTTGGGCTTTGCTCTGATTAAGGTGAGAGCCCCGGAGGGTTCTGAGCAGAGGAGGCCGTGCTCGACGCAGGTGTTCAGAGGCGCCCTCTGGTGGCAGAGGTAGGAACAGTCTGAGAGGGTGAGGGTGGACTCTTGGAGAGCCAGGAGGTGACTTCACTGGTCCAGACACGCAGGATGGTGGAGGTTGTGGAGGCGGAGAGATGCGGACGGATTCTGGATGATGTGGAAGATGGAACTGACAGGTGTGAGCATGAAGGCTAGAGAGAACTTCAGGCTTTGGGACCTGAAGCACTGGAAGGGAGAGATGGAGGAGCTACAGGGTGGGCAGGTTTGGCTGGTGGTGACCAGATCTCTTTAGCCCTTGATAAGCTCAAGTGCCCATGAGACATCCACATGGGGTCCTCAAGGGAGCAGCTGTATGTCTGAGTCCAGGGCCCAGGGGAGACAGCAGGGCAGGAGGGAGACACTTGAGCATCCTTAGCATGTAGGTGGCATTTAAAGCCATGTGGCTGCCGGGTGCAGTGGCTCATGCCTGTAATCCCAGCACTTTGGGAGGCTAAGTCAGGAAGATCACTTGAGGTCAGGAGTTCAAGACCAGCCTGGTCAACATGGTGAAACCCCATCTCTACTGAAAATACAAAAATTTGTCAGGCATGATGGCAGATGCCCATAATCCCAGCTACTCAGGAGGCTGAGGCAGGAGAATCACTTGAACCCAGGAGGCAGAGGTTGCAGTGAGCTGAGACTGTGCCACTGCACTCCAGCCTGGGTGACACAGCAAGACTCCATCTCAAAAATAAAAATAAAAATAAAAATAAAAATAAAAATAAAAATAGAAAAGTCATGTGGCTGAATGAAGTATTGAGAGGGGAGCCCTCATCTCAGGCTGGTAGGAAAATTCGGGGCTATGGGAGCCCAGTCCAGGGATTCATTTTCCTCCAGAGTGGGGCCCATTTTTCTGCTGGGAAAAATAAAATCCTCAGCAGCTGGCAAACATTCCCAAGGTCAGATAGTGAGATTTTTGGCAGGCTAAGTATCCAAGCCTCCTGCTTTCCAGCTAGGGTTCTTGCCACTTCCCCAAGAACAGGCCTTGGGGAGGGAAGGCTGGTGGTTGGTTTCAGCCCCTAGGCCTGACATCCCCCCTCATCCTTCCCAGGTTCAGGAGTTGCAGAATTCCCTCTTGAGGCTGGAGCCCTTCCCAAGTCTTTCCCACAGCCAAGCAGGTGGCTCAGGCAGTGGTTCTAGCAGCTCTGAGGCAGACAGGGAACCCTGGGAGACTCAGGTGAGTGTGAGAAGTTCAATCCCGTGGTCTTGATGTCCTTAGTCTTCAGGGGGATGAGACTCAAATCTTTGTCATGGGATCCAACAGCTTCTGGGGTTGCAAAATGCCTACCATCCCAGGCTCTTGGTGACAATTGGGGTCAATTACATCACCTGTTCTTGGCAGGACTCCTTCTCCCTGGCTCACCCCCTGCTTCGGCGCCTCCGCAGCCATTCCAGCACCCAGATCCTTGGGTCTCTTCCCACCCAGCCCCTCAATCCTGAGATGCACATCATGGAAGCCCAGACGGAGCAACTCCGGGGGTAAGAGACTCAAATGCTGAGCTCATAAGGGCACAGGCACCTCCTCCAGCTGAGTTAGGAGGCCTGGAGTCTGAAGCTGCAACAGGAGGGAGGGTAAGGGTGGAAATTGAGGCCTGACTGCCTTAGAAGGCCTCTGACTTTCCCTCTTCCCCACTTTCGGGGACAGGAGCATTGAGAAGCTCAAATGCTTTAACCGTCTGCTATCGGCTGTGCTCCAGGGATACAAGGGCCACTGTGAGGGCCTCAGCATGCAGCTAGGCCAGCGGGAGGCTGAGGCCACAGCATTGCATCTGGCCTTGCAGTACAGGTCAGTGCACCCTGCCAGTGATGTCACCAGCTGGGGTGGGAATGGGCTTTCTGAGGATGGCCCCAATCCACAGAACCCTCATTGGAGAGCACCTTCCCCACTTTAGAAATTAATTTTTTTTTTTTTTTTTTTT